TCCATCATTCTGCACCGCTTCGGGGGAGGGAGGCCCGCCTTCTGAGGGCCTCACCGCAGACACAGGGGGCCAGGGGGCACGGTGGGGTGTTGGTGGGCGCAGCCTGGAACCGGAAGGCAGGCAGATCTGGAGTCATCCCAGCTCCATCAGTCCTGCCTTTGCCATTTGCTGGCACATCCGGGGACAAGCTAATGTCTCGGAGCCTCGGGGTCCTCCTTTGTAAAAGCTGGCGATGCCGTCTTGCATGGAAAGCCCGACAGTAGTTAGTTCTTTATCACAGATGTCGTCATCGACGGGAAATCACAGCTCTGTGAAGGGCTGGCTGATGGCCTGGAGCAGGACAGGGACCAGGGCAATGGGGGTGTCTTAGGGTTCACCCTCCCACTCAGGGGCATCCCTGATGGCTTATCACCTGCCTCCACTGGAATGATGGGAATTCACCATGTCACACGGAGGCCTCGTCGTTTGAAGGAAGGGGAGAAACATGGTTTATAGAAGAAAATCTGGCATAGAGCGAACATCCGGGCTAGTTGTGTGACCTTGGAAAAGTGGTTTTATTTATTTCTCTATTAGTGAAATGGAGATTGTGGCCTCGTCTGTAGGGTGTGGACGGAAGTTAAATTGGGTAGTAGGCATCGTCTGGGGCTTGGTACGCAGTCAGGACTCAATAAATGTTAGGTAAAAATAAAAGGACTATTACTAAGTAATTTCAGAAAGTATTTCTTTATTAAAAAAATTTTTTAATTGATTTCAGACAGGAAGGGAGAGGGAGAGATAGAGACCTCAATAATGAGAGGGAATCATTGACTGATTGCCTCCTGCACACCCCATACTGGCTTTGACCCTTGACTGGGATCGAACCCGGGACCCTTCAGTCCACAGGCTGATGCTCTATCCGTTAAGCCAAACCAGCTAGGACACAGGAAGCACTTATTAAACACCTTCTGTATTCAAGCATCAGTGGTGATATGGTATCAATGTGTTTCCTAGACTCTCCATCTCTCCCTGGTAGGAGCGTACAGATGTGTGTTGTGAGTTGAGCACCCTGCCTACCACTTTAGAACATGATACCATATTTTCACCATTTTTTTTTTTACATGAAAAGTAAAAAATTGAAAACTAATTAGAAATATACCATATATTCAGTTTTGAGGCCTGGGTTTTTCACTTGATATTAGATCCTGAACCTTTCCTCATGTCTTCAAATTTTCTCTCTAGAAGTGCTTTTAGATGGCTGCATAGTGTTCTGTCACTGGCTAGTCTAGACTTTACCTACCCACCCTACTATTTTGGGGCATGGAGGAATAAATGGCTTAACAATGACTCTTATCTGTAGAGACAGAACTCCTAAGCACTCATGTGCATTAAGGGCTATTATTCTGTTGTTGAAATGTCCTGAGCTGCAGGGGGCAGGGGTTGACCAGTTGGCCGTAGGACTCCCTTCCAGCCCTGTCTGTCTCCTTTGCCCTTGGACGGGAGTGGGGGGGGGGGGCGAGCAGGTGCGCCAGGTGCCCCCAGGGCCTAGTGTATGGCCACTAATTAGCCAGCCCGGGGCCGCTATCATCACCCCAGAACCACATCCATTTCAAGCTTCATTGGCGCTCAGGCAGCGAAGAAGAGATGGTAATGAAATATTTATCCAAAAAGAAAACCTGTCTAGTCCGGCCAGAAGTATTTTTTAAAAAATATATATTTATTGACTTTTTACAGAGAGGAAGGGAGAAGGAGAGAGAAACATATCAACCAGCTGCCTCCTGCACACCCCCCACCGGGGATGTGCCCGCAACCAATGTACATGCCCTTGACCAGAATCGAACTTGGGACGCTCTAGCCACTGAGCCAAACTGGTTTTGACCAGCCAGAAGTAGTTGATGTGTTCCCCAGCTATTAAGAATGGTGAATAGTGTATTTTTATTGACCTGTGATAGAGAAGGCAAGGAAATCTGTAAAGAGGCGAATGTTACAGCTGACCCTCTGCACAGCCCATGTCCCTCTGGGGCTGGAGCTGGCCAAGGAGGTTGCATCATTCGAAGCCAAGGTGCAGGCGGGAGTTGCCTCTTACGTAAAGGCTTCAAGTTGTAGGACAAAAGAAGGGGCCGAGAGGAGAGGAGACACCATCTGGCCCCCTTCACCTCTTCCTCTAAAAACGATAGAAATGGACTTGGATAACGGTTTCAGTTAATTTCTGCCAGGAGACATAAATTAGAGGTTGAAATGTGCAGCTGGCCCCACACCCCCTCCCCGGGAGGCTTGATGCTCCCCAGACGCCTCAGGCTCCTTTGAGAAGAAAGTTATGGTCCTTCCTGGCGCAGAAACGTGGTGAGCTATTCCCAGCTGCTTCCTGTAGGGAGTTCTGTCTCACCCTACAACAGCCCGCGTGTCCCTGACCTCGCTGTCTGACCTTTCCCTGCCTGTGGCTTGGGTCATGTTTCGGGCATCAAGGGGTGCTTTTGAAGACCAGAACCTTCTCCAGGCCTGGAACTGAGGTCTGTTTTGCTTCGTGCTCGTAACAGGAGCAGCACACCACCAGCCCCGTGCACGTGTGCTGAGTGATGCCTGCAGGCGGCTCTTCATGAACCTGTGGGCCACACCAGCGGCTTCTGTTTAGGTTACTGTCTGGGCAACGCACAGTGGAGACCCTTCCCCAGAGCTGGACAGCCCCTCACGGTGCAGGAAGTTAGCGTTCGTGTAAAAGTCACATGGGTAGGGTCTCTCTGTAAATATCTTAGAGCCGTGGTCAGCAAACTGCGGCTTGTGAGCCACATGCAGCTCGTGGCCCCTTGAGTGTGGTTCTCCCACAAAATACCACGGCCTGGGCGAGTCTATGTTGAAGAAGTGGCGTTAGAAGAAGTTTAAGTTTAGAGGGAGGAAGGGAGGGAGAAAAAAATAAAGGAAGAAGTTTAAGTTTAAAAAATCTGCCTCTCCAAAGAAATTCCAATCGTTGTACTGTTGGTATTTGGCTCTGTTGACTAATGAGTTCGCTGACTACTGTCTTAGAGCATCTAATTCACTGTTGGGCGTGTAGTAGTTGCTCAAGAAATGAGAAGTGGTTGAAATGGTCGTGAATGAAAGAAACCATGAATGAATGAGCGGCCTCCTGAGTTCTCTCTTGGGATTCCCAGGTGCTAGTTCCTGCCTGGCATTACGTGGGCCCCGGGAACTGTACCAGATCAGTGACTAGCAGATGGACAGACACAAGGGAGGGTTGTTGTCATTCTGTCTCGGCCTGCAGAGGGCGGTGGGAGCGTGGGTTTGGGTGGGACACAGTGGTTGGGACAATGCTACCCACCCCTGCAGCCCCCAGCCCCCTGTCACTCTGTCTCTGAAAGCTTTCTTTAAAAAAAATTTTTTTTTTTTTTAAATTATTGATTTCGGAGCAGAAGGAAAAGATAGAGAGAAAGAGAAATAAGAACATCAATGATGAGAGGGAATCACTGATTGGCTTCCTCCTGCATGCCCCACACTGGACATGTGCCCTGACCAGGAATTGAACCTTGATCTCCTGGTTCCCAGGTTGATGCTCAACCCCTGAGCCACACCAGCCAGGTTCTCTGGAAGCTTTCTGAACAGGGATGTCTCCCTCTCTTGATTCCCTCCACCCACCCCGGGTTTACTGTGGGTTTCACCAGGCAGTTAATCATGTCCCACCTTTGAAATCCCTTCCGTTGTTGTCGCAAGAGGTCATGGGGGACACTTCTCAGAGGGTGTTCCTGCTGTTCCCATTGGAGAGAGGGCCCGGGGGCTTGTGGGAGTGCTCCCCTGGGAGTCGGAGGCCTCGGCTGGGAGCTCGGCACAAGCCTCTCTGAGCGTTAGCCGGGGTGTCTGTCGAGTGGGATAGAGGCCAGGCCCGTGGTGAGGATGGATGGGACGGGTGTGTGAAAGCACCTTGTCCACTGTAAGGTGCTTCGTGGAATCGGGCGCTGCCCTGACCCCAGCCCGGGGAGCACAGGGGCTGTTTCTTGTTCGGTGTCCAGCTCTCGGGACGCCCGGGCACCGGCCTCTCACCTGCTGCCTTCGCTAGGGCTGCGCTCCTGTCTTCCTTTGGGCTTGGAAGCCATCTCTACTCCCAGGCTTTCCCACGCCCAGGGAGGCACGGGTCGCCCTGCATTTGCAGGGGAAGCAGTCAATGGCAGTGGCTGTTGGCCTTGACACAGCCAGGCACCGGCCCAGCCCTTTGCACACACACACGTCCGCTCTTTTCCACAGCACCCGCACGAGGCAGGCTCTCCCCACGAGGCTCACGAGGCAGCGGGCTGCCCGAGGTCACTTAGCTGGTGGCTGTGTCAGGGTTCAGACCAACGAGCTCTCCCCAGAGCTTGTGCTCCCAACCACGGGGTCCTCTAAGCCCCCCTGGGGCTGGAAGGCTGCCTCCCCCATCCTCCGCTGGGAGGCCCCCAGGGCCCTTCTCCTGCCCAGGACTCCCAGGTGCTCATGTGCTCAGCCCCCGTCTCTCCAGTCGCTCCTCTGCCACCCCTCTCTCCCTCCCTGTCCTTGACCTAAAACAAGAGACGAGAGCAGCAGCCACGACTTTCTAATGCATTCCTGCAAAAATTCTGCACAGTCAGAGAGACAGGGTCCGCTGGAATCCTCTGGCTCGGGCTTGTGAAGAGAAAGGCCTCAGCTGGCACAGGATTGATGCCCAAACCATATCCTAGCAGCACCAAAAAAATAAAAATAAAAAATTACGTTCACATGACTTATGAGCTTGGAGGCAAGAATTCTAAACAACACATCAAACCGACTCCAGTCACACATAACCAAGGTGATCCATCACACCCAGGCAGCCTTCATCCCAGGGAGGCCCCGATGATGGAACCCTGAGGACAGAGGCCGGGCGGGGAGCAGCCGCTGAGGTGGCGCGGCCCAGGGCCCCGCCGAAGGTCCTTCCTGGTGCCCGTCCCTCCTCTGTCCCCAGACCTCCCCTTCCCGTGGCCTCCGAGTAAAACAAGCCGCCCCATTCCCGGCCGACGCGGGTAACCCTCTCTCCGTTTCTCCTGCAGGATTCCATGTTTTCGTTGGCCCTGAAATGCCTTATCAGTCTGTCCACCATCATCCTCTTGGGTTTGATCATCGCCTATCACACCCGTGAAGTCCAGGTAGGTGCCCCGGGCCCTCACCCGCCAGGCGGTGGCCATTTCCGGCAGCAGCTGAGCCTGGCCTCACCCCAGCGTCACCCCCTAAGCGGCTCCTCGGGGGGTTTCCTAAGACAGCGTCCGAGATTGTGGGTCTTCCGTTGGTTTGGACGCTCATGGCGGGGGGGACGGGGAGGCTGCCTGTGGCTGTGGAACAACGGCGACGTCATCTTCCCTGGGGGATCCCTGCGGCACGCGTGGCTCTGTGATTTAGGGGGCGTCTGCTCGGAGTACTCAGGACCACGGCCATGTTGGAGCACGTGAGCCTCGCCTCCTCTGAGAACCCTGTGCGTTGCTGTGACTTCGCACTCACTGGATCCTTTCTGAACTTGAGTCACAGAATCCCCCCAGTGAGACAGACCTGTCTCGCGTCCTCCTCCTACACATACATACACACACGCGCACACGCACGCGCACACGCACACCGCACCGAGTACCACCAGGAACCTGCATTTCCATGTGCGGCAGACTTTACCCTGTCCGGGGCAGGGGGAGCGGCTGTCCAGGAGTGACTTGGCACCCAGAGAAATATCGGCCGGGCCCCTGGGGTGCATTTCAAGTTGGGAACATTGCTCCCCCTGGGCTGGAGAGGGCAGGCAGGAGAGGGCAGATCTGTGCATCTTCTGTGACAATGGCCCTTCAGGACGGCCTGCTCTGGGGGACCTGGGCCTCCGGTGCTCTTTGTCTCACATGTGAATCCGGGTATAACCCGGTCCCTTGGCTGGAGGAGCTCAGATAGATCCACCTCTGGGCAGCAGCAAGAGATGGACAAAGATCAGAACTCGGGGTCAGAACATCTGGGGTCAGGACTCCACCATGACCTCTTCTCATGGTGTGTGTGTGTGTGTGTGTGTGTGTGGCCAGGCCCGTGACCTTTCTGGGTTGGAACATGTGACTCTTTCTTTGCTGGTCTCTGAAGAGCCTTGGTAACAGCAGAGAGTACAGAGAGGGCTTTCATGACATGGAAACATCAGTCCCTTCCCTGCCCCACTGCTCCCAGCGGGGCCCGCTCCTGTGCACGCTGGGCCTGGCAGATGGTGACCGTCACGTCTGCCCGGTGCTGGCAGGGTGCTGGGCTTGCTCCCCACGCCGGACCCAGCCTGCCTGGCCCCAGCTCCGTCGCCCGGCCCCGCATCCGACGTGCCCCACGGCCTCATGGGAAGCCTCCGGTCTGTGGCTCCCTCTGGGCCTCTGACCTTCCGAGGGTCAAGTTCTTTCTGGAGGGGAATGGGAGAGGTGGGGGCCCAGGTTCTCCTGGGAGCGTGGTGGAGGCCAGGAGGGCTTGCTCCTACACCTGCACCCACTGTGTGCGCCTCACCCGGAGTCCTGTGTTGTCCCTTCCTTTTCTCCCCCACCTCAGGGCCTAGGATGCCATCAGTCTTTTCATTTCTCAGGACTCCCGGTGGCTGACAGAGATGGTGTGCGCAGTGCCTGTGCTGAACGAAAGGGCCCTGGTCCAAGGTCCCTGGGTTAAAAGCAACGTCGGCCATTAGTTAGCGCTGCGGTCTTGGGCCTCCGTGTCCTCATCTGTTCATTGGGGCTCCTGAGCCCCCCAATTCTGCAATTCTCTGATTGAGAGGTGGTGTGCGGCCAGCGGGGGACCGGCTTCCAGAGAGAGGGCGGGCCGCTGGCTCTTATCCGGAGTGGAGCCCTGGCAGGCCCCTTCCATGGGGAGCGGCCCGCTGTGCTCCGGGGTGCGCGCTGCCGGGTGCTGGCGGGGGCCGCGCCAGGGCCTGCTCGGCACTTCACTCGTCCTGACCAGTTGCTGGTCACTTGCCTGCACTTTGGCAGAGACTGGATGGCCATCTCTCCACCTCCCCCAACTCTGTCCCCGACGCTCCCCTCCAGCCCCAGGCCCTGGCCCTGCACACAGACGCTGGGGTGCCATCTAGAACAGTGTTCCTCTTGGTTAGTTTGGACAACTCGTGCTTTTTTTTTTTTTTTTTTTTTTTTTTTTTTTTTTTGAGGAAGAAAAACCCGGAAACAGTACTGGGTGACTCCCAACTGAATTCTGGCTTTCCGTGGGACAGCCTCGGGGTGGCAGGCTCTCAGAGGGGACAGGGGTGGGGGGAGGGGTGCCCCTCTGCCTCTGCGGGCCTGCCCACGGCAGGGCGTCACTGTCTCTGGGGGGAGGCTGTCCCCCGGTGGGTAGCACGAGGTTTTAGGAGACCTGCCCTCCCACTCAGAGGAAACGGGTTCCCTGGAGCGCCCGGCCGGCTCTGGAGCAGGGAAAGGGGCGGCGAAGATGGTCGCCAGGCTCTGCTCTGTCTCCCCTTGTCTCGCCGGGGTGGGGCATGGAGCACGCAGCATGGAGCTCTCAAAGGCTCAGGCGTCTGCTATGCTCCTGCCAGTGTGTCCTGGAAAGAAATGAGAACACACACACACACACACACACACACACACACGCATTTTTAATTTTTAAATTGATTTCAGAGAGGAAGGGAGAGGGAGAGAGAGATAGGAACAACATCAATGATGAGAGAGAATCACCGATCGGCTGCCTCCTGCGCGCCCCACACTGGGGATCCATGCCTTGACCGGGAATCGAACCGTGACCTCCTGGTTCAGAGCTTATGCTCAGCCACTGAGCCACACCAGTCAGGCAACAAGGCGTTTTGTAAAAATTTATCAAACTTTCTCTTGGAGAGCCCGTTTACTCCTGTGGTTTGGCGACCACCGACTCCCAGCCGGGCCGCGGCAGCCGCCCAGGCCGAGGCTCACGTGTTCCATGCCATCGGCACATCCCCGGCTCCACGCGCAGAACACGGGGCTCTCTTTGCTCCGCAGTGTCCTCCCACCCCCCACCCTGCGTCCCCTTCCGGCTCACTCATTCCGTGTCTAGAAAACCCGACAGCCTTTCGCTCCTCCACGCGGCTGCCAGCCTCCGTGCCTCTCTGGCTCCGATGCCGCCCGGAGGGCAGGAGAGCAGGGGGCTGAGAGTGTGGGCTGCTGAGGGCTCTGGCTTGGGTTCAGATCCCGCTCGTTGACACATTGTAGTGTGTGATGGTGTGACCTTTAGCAAGTTTTGAATCCCTCTTCGTCTATTTCCTTCCTGCAGAATGGGGCTAATAATAGTGCCCGTCACAAAGGGCTGCGGTGCAGATCAGAGGAGATAATATACGCAAAACACCTTGGCCCAGAGGAGGCCGCGTCTGCCGGGCAGGCAGGGCGGGAGGGCACCCCGGCAGCGGTCTTGAGATAGACAACAGGCCTGCGGCGGGAGTGGGCAGGCTGTGGGGGCGCCTCTGGGACCAGGTCCTGAGCAGGGGGGCTGGGGCCTTCAGAAGTCATTCACACCCAACCCCTGCCTTCAGAAGCTGCCGGTGGTAGGCCTTGACTCACGGTGGCCCAGGCTGATCAGTGCCAGGAAGGGAGACAGAGGAGTGGAGAGAGAATAGAAGGAAGGTGTGTGTTTTTGTGTATTTATTTATTTATTTTTAAAAATATATTTTATTGATTTTCTTTACAGAGAGGAAGGGAGAGAGAGAGAGAGAGAGAGAGAGCTAGAAACATCGATGAGAGAGAAACATCGACCAGCTGCCTCTTGTACACCCTCTACCGGGGATATGCCTGCAACCAATGTACATGCCCTTGGCCAAAATCGAACCCGGGACCTTTCAGTCCGCAGACAGATGCTCTACTGCTGAGCCAAACCGGTTTCGGCTGTTTTTGTGTTTTTAGAAATATATATATTTTATTCATTTTTTACAGAGAGGAAGGGAGAGGGATAAAGAGTTAGAAACATCGATGAGAGAGAAGCATCCATCAGCTGCCTCCTGCACATCTCCTACCGGGGATGTGCCCGTAACCAAGGTGCATGCCCTTGACTGGAATCGAACCTGGGACCCTTCAGTCCACAGGCCGACACTCTATCCACTGAGCCAAACTGGCCAGGGCAGGAAGGTGTGTTTGTCCTTTGGGAGGTGGCCGCCTACTAAACCTCAGAGGCTGGGTCTCCACCCGGGTCAGCCGCTGGTAGACACGCCCTAAGCTTGCCTCTGGCTGGTTGGCTGGTGAATTTGATCGCCCTCACTGGGTCCGAGATGGGCCGATGGCCAAGGTCTTCTTTGTGAACGGAACAGATGGGGGGCCCTGAGATCCAGAGACCTCCAGCAGATGGTCCTGCCAGCCTGCGTGGTCTGAGGACACCAGCCCCTTCACCAGGCACGCTGCCCAGAGGTGAGGAGGGAGCTCCCGGCACTTAGGGGTGCAGCGATGGACAGGAAAATTCCAGATGGCAGCCACTGCTGCCAAGCTCCCGTCCACCTCCTGCTCCATCCGCTCTAACAGACCGCCCCGGACAGATCTCTGCAGACGCAGGAGGAGGGAAATGAGGAGTGTGTTCCAGGGGGCGGTGCCCGGGGGACCACTGTGCATCGGGGGAGGGCACCCCTTATCCCCCCACCTTGAGCCCGGACCCCGGGAGTCCCTGTCAGATGACCCTTCGCAGGTTTTCCGAGAGGAGGCACTCCTGCCGCTGCTCAGCAGTGATGCTGCCTCCTGGCCTCGTCTGGGGCTTGGTATGTTCCGGAGGGTTTTCACGAGTGTTATCAGACCTTTGTGCTGCCTGAGGTTTCGGTACGGATGTTTCCTCTCCATGGAGCTGTTCCGGATACCCCACTCCCCGAGCAGAGCACCGCCCTGACCCTGCGTGTCCTGGGTGGGCCTGCCTCGCCGCCCTGGGCCGGGTCTGTGGTGGGAACCACGGGGAGAGCGCCTGGCACACAGCAGGGGCTCAGTAGGCGGGAACAGTGAATGGATGACAAACCTGGGACAGGCGGGCGCGTTTACCCTCCCTCGTCACCGGGGAGACGGCTGAGCTGTGGCCGACCGTCCGGAGGCCTGGCTTCTGGCCTGTGCTCTGGTCTCATAAGGGCGCTCGGGTCTCGGAGGGCTGTCCCTGCGAGCTGGCCATGCCTCTGTGGTTCCCCCCTTTCCTCTTGTGGGCCAGCCTCAGCCCAGCA